CTAGCAGGCTGACATTTTGTCATTACTGGTAAGCTTGATTCTAGAAACTTCTCCCTTTTGATCTGTCATGGACTAAGAATCTCACATTGTTAGCATTTGTGAAAAATCAGAGCCGTGAGGTTTAGGGTGGCGGTCTGGACGTAGAGTTTACAGAGAACGACACATGAAATAGTCCTTGGACGTTGTGGCAGCCCCTTCATCTCTTAGAAGATATTTTTGCTCAGTTCTACATTTGGAGAGGACCAGACACAGCTAGAACTTGGGATTCGAAAGACATGGGATGCTTTTGTATTTTCATTTTGTCAATAGGAGCCGTGGGATACACTGGCGTGTTGATATCTGCTCTTTCACCTTCATTTATAAATAATTCTGGTCATTTTCTCTGAGTTCTGTTTTTCCCAAAACTTTGATCATCTGAAATCATTAGAAATTTCCCCCAAAGACTACACATTCATCTTAATCTGAGGCACCACAGACTCCACAATCTAACTTCCAATGAGAAGAGTATACATCAGAATAGAGATGTTCTTGGAAATGTTGTGTGCAACAATGATTTATCTATCGGCAGTGCTCCTTCCTTGACTTCACTATAACATGATGTGTTTTGGAGTGGGGGTGGGCTGGGGGGAGGGATGTGACTGGAATATATTACAAGTCTCTCACTTCATTTACCCCAGCCATCTGTCTACATATTTGTTCATATAGACGGGCATACACTACGTACTGAGCTCTGTTTGGGAGACAGAAAAGAAGAAGAGATCATTCCTTATGTAAAGAAGCTAGCTTTTAATCAAATAAAAGCAAAAATCAAAGAGTTAAGGGAACATTTTATCTATGACTAAAGTACAGATGACACTTCACTGAGCACTGGTGACACTTTTTCTCTACATTTGCCATTTGGAAGTTGGGCTACATAAGTAACACACACACTTACTTCAATTCTTACAATAACCTTGATGTTTCTTCCCAGTTTATGAGGAATGAGACTCCACTAATAACAGCTCTGCTTATGAATGGGGGCTTATGAACATTTTCCACGCATTGTCTTTTCATCATCACATCAACATCACTAGGAGGAAGCTGAGCCTCAGATGAGTTAAGTGACTTGTATAGTAAGACATGAAGAAGACTAAGATTCATTTGACCACCAGTCAGGACTGTTTCCATTGTGTCCTGCAGGCACTCTTCCACTTTTCACTCCCTGTGTTTCCTAAGACAGCTGTCTGTAGATACTCATCCATCCCTCCATCCCTCCATCCAACCATCCAACCATCCAACCCTCCATCCATCCATACTTCCATCCATCCATCCATCTAACCAACCAACCAACCAACCAACCAGCCACTGCTCATCTGCCCCACCATGTGGCAGGCACTGTGCTAGGCTTCGCAGACCCAATAATGGCCCCTGACCTCATGACACCCACAGTTTAGTGGAGGATACAGAAAGGCATTGAATAAATGAGTGAGTGAGTGAATGAACGAATGTTAAAAATTCCATTTGTATTTGTGTGAGGTGTCTTTCAAGCTGGACAGATTGGCAGCTCTGTTCTCTGAATCCCAGATCTCATATTCCTAAGCTGCTAAATTACTTTGATTTCCACATACAAAATATCTTCCACCTATTTTTCTTTTTAATTTCCACTATCTGCAAATTTATTGAATGTGCTTAATGCTCCATCATTACCTCATCGCAAAGGGATCTACAAGAAAACCCGCCAAATCCAGTAAGTCTCTTTGCTGATGGTTTATTGCTTTACCAAGAAAAGCTATAAACAGGATTTGAGCAATGAAAACCTTTCACATTGTACAAACACGTTCCATATGACACAAATCAGGAGAAATATGAGGAATGCTGTGAAACATGATAGAATGCTCAAGTGCTAAATTTCCCCTTTTGGGAAATTCCAAGACCTTTCTTTGTATACATATTTTTTTTAAAAAAGTCATTTACAAAAATGGCAGGAAGGATATTTAAATATTAAGTCACAGTTTGAAAATGGATATATACATACATATACATACACACACATAGATGTTCTGAGATAAGACGACCATCACGATGTTCATGATCTCAGTTCTGCAGGGTCACTGAAGTTCCTTTTCATCAAGATGGGTCTTTTACAAAAAAACAGTGACATAATTCAACATAATCCACATGTACAGAGTCCAAGGTTAAGAAGGTTACAGACTATCCTATTATTGAACCTACTTTCTTTGATTACTCTAGGAGTCCTTTCAAGTTAAAATTGTAGCTACTGCCAGTCAGCACCTTTTTCAAAGGTTGTACCTCTTGACTTGGGGGCAAGACAACTAGGATTAGTGTTAGGAGAGATGACTCACCACCCTATTCTTCCATTCACTAGCTGTTAAGACCTTGGGCAAATTACTTAACTCTTAAGCCTTACTTATCCTATGAGCCTCAGTTGTTTTACCTCTAAAATGGGGGTGATAATAATAAACCTATCCCCCAAATTTGCTGTGAGGATTAAGATATGGCTGTAAAGCACTTAGCACATGGTCTGGCATAGTGCCTATGGCATTTGACTGCTAACCAGAAGGCTGGCGGTTCAAACCCACTAGCAACTCCACAGAAGGAAGATGGAGCAATCTACTTCCATAAAGATTTATCACCCCAGAAGCCCAGTGTGGGTTTCTGAGTCAGAATCAAGCTGATGGCAGTGAGTTTGGTTTGATTTTGGTTAACCAAGCTCCTACAATCTTGGAAGCTATGCTCAGTTTCCCAAATAGGGTTGCAAACTCAGGAAGAACCTAGCTCTTGGGTTTCTACTGAATTTCCAGTAGGCCTAGCTCTTATCTAGTCTTTAATTTGTAGATGGCAGGCAGTTCATTCTAAGAAAATCCAACAGGACCCACACAGACTAACAGAAGGGTCATGTATGGGGTAAATTCTCTTTACACAAGAATCCCTGCTTTTTTTTTTTTTGTATAAATATACATCTTTAAATATTGTCTTTTTCTATGAGACTTAAAATAAGATTTGGATGATAAGTTAGATTTTCACATAATGTTGGAGGAAGAGAGCTTCTGAATAAAGCCAGGAACACCTACGTGATTTCATTTATTCATCAAATCCATATTGAGTGCCACTGTATGCCTTGCACTGCGGCTGGGTTTTCGGGAGGCTCCAGTGAAGTGGAGTCTTGTTTTCTGTCTAGGAGTCCTGCTGTGTACTGTGGGTTATTCCCTCACGTATAACTGAACAGCATTCAATAAGCCGTGTGGGTAAATGCATGATGGGAGTTGGTTGTGATTTGAAGGAGGGGATGATTTGCTGGGGCTGCATGGACTTTCATCTCCCCAAGAATTCTTTGGATGCCCAAGCAACTAAGTGACCTGGAAGCCAGACATTCTCTTCTCCTGGGAAAGGAGCTAGAGAAATGGTAATAAGAGCAAAAAATGAGTGTGAGAATTCACATATTCCAGTAGGTTCCCCTGCTCAGAAATGCTTGTAAACTCCGTAGGTAGGGAAAAAATGAGCTTTGAAGTCAGTTCCACTTGGACTTGAGTTCTGACCTCCCCACTCACCAGCTGAGTGACTTTAGTTAAGTGTCTTGATCTCTCTGGGCTTCTACTTCATATTTGTAAGAACAGAAATAGCCATAGTGTATTCGCAAGGTTGTCACAAAGGTTCGATGAGCTGGTCTAGACCAGGCACCGAGAAAAATGCCCAGAGAATGTGTTTAATAAAGATCTATAGCAGGATATGCTTTGCTTTACTAATAAATATTAGCCTCATTCCCCTTTCCTTTTCACTTTGAACCCTTATTAAATCTATTTCTGGTTTTAAACAACTGGCAAACCCCCATCTTCACACCAGGAAACTGGATTGTTTTGGTCACTGGAGCCAAAAGCTGTGAAATGGGACACTGTGGCAGAAGGAGACGTACCTTGTGGTCCTGCAGCCAGGCAGCATGGACACATTACTTCTTTGGCCAACCCCTGACCTGGAGCTGTCTCAGTCATTTCAAGTGGGTCTGGTCTGGACTTCAGCTGGGTTTCCTAAGTCTCCATAAGGGTAGAGGAATGCCCCCAGGACACCAGCCTCAGGGTGCAATGAGGCCTTACCACAGTTTCCAATGACTCCCATGAACCCTCCAGCAGGGAGAGGGTCTGGATGCAAGGAAGAACCTGGCCTATGGATTGACGCCTATCATTCAGAGCAGCTCAATGCCTCCTTCTGGAAGCTGGCTGACCTTGCTATTGTTGTTGTTGTTGTTGTTGTTATGTGCCATCGAGTCGGCCCCGACTCATAGCGACCCCTCCTTGACCTTGCTATAGTCCTAGAGTATCGACTAGGGGCTGTTCTCATGATCAAGAACAAATTTTCTCAAATCCCATTTCTGACTGAGATGAACCCAATCTCTATCCTTCACAGTGCAGCTGTGAATAGAAACTGAACCTCAACAATCCCCAGGTTAATGAATACAACTCTCCACTGAAAAGAAAACTAAATAAAAAATAAGTCACCTCTCTTGACAAGTATTTGGTGTCTTTGGGGTGCATGAATCTTTGGCTTCAGAGATACTTCTGATGTGTTATGGTCAGAATGTCCCATTAGGGTGTCACTAGGCAGGACTCACATAGTAAACCATTCCATTGGCCCAAATCCCATCAATCCTGGTTTGGCATCTAATGAGGGAATCCCTGATATTGGATGTCTAGCTGGTTCTGCTCCTTGGGACTCAGGCAAGACCCAGCAGGACTTCCAGTGACTGGCATGAATGGATTAGGCATGGGGGTTTTCCAGAGCTGCTAGAAAAAGGCATCTCCTTGGAGTGGATGTGGACGGCTGCCAAGGAGGCAGCCCAGAGTCTAGGCCTGAGAAGCACCATCATGGGCCATTTGGGTGGCTGGAGACAGAAAAGGGCGGAGGATCAGGTAGTAGAGGTGAGGGCAAGTGGACCAAAGAAGGCTCAGTTGTGAGAAGGTTTGGGCCACAGAGGTCTTGGTGCTGTGCAAGCTCTGGGTCAAGCCTGCCTAATTGGCGATTTCTGAGAAGTCAGGGTAGGACTCCAAGTCTGCAAAGATATCATTGGGGTTCCTACAGGTCAGGTTGCAGAAGCAAGCGTTGATCCATAGAACCTTGCGGGAGAAGCCAGGCCCATTGGGACACTGGAAGGAGACGTCGATGGTCTTGGACTTATAGGGGATGCAGCACCTATTGTCTGTGCAGACCCCACAGTATTTGGGTCGGTAGGAACGTATGCTGATGCAACCCCCGAGGGTGAAGTTCATGGGCACTTCTGGCTGGTACACAGCCAAACACTTCTTCCCTGCCTGAAGGAGAAGAAAAGGGCTTTCAGATGGGATGGTCCCTGACCCTACATCCTTTCCTCCAAGCCCTCAATTCTTCCCTCCTCAGGCATCATGTGAGAACACTTCACCTGGCCCTTGGATTCCCAGCATCTTTGAGCAAGGAAGAACCTTTGAAAATGCAGGGAGACCCATCCATAGGACACAGGAGTAAACTGAGGACCACAGAAGGACCACCACTGCTTGGGTTGCATCTCACAGCCTAGAATTGCCCTTCTTTTCTATACTGCTGTTGCACCAAGACCCAGTCATTCATCACAGTCCCACCTGATGAATGGGAGCTCCTTCAGTCCGCTGAGCTCCACCAGCTAGACACTGGGACTTTATGATCAGGGGATAGGCTTTCCCTGAAACTCTTCTTCATTGGCCTCTTGCAGCTTCTGGTACACACCCTTATCATGTAACTTGCTCAATAGGTTGAGCATTGCTTGAAAACAGCTCTATTCCTCCACTGAGCTATGGACAATCAGCAAGCATCTCTCAGCATCTTTTCAGATGAGCACTTTGGAGGGTCCCTGGGCTCTCTCTGTGGTGGCCTTGATTCTAACAACATGGCAGCCACAAGAGCATCTGATGAGTGACATTCACAATGCACCAGCCTCATGGCATATATTAGTACCAATCCCTGTTTTCAGGAGGTGGGTTGGATTGCCCCCATTTCACAAATGGCCCCCCCTGGGAAGTTCAGGAGCCAGGGCTCCCAGCCAGGCTTATCTTCCTGCTGCCCCTGCCCTGCCCCACTCTACCCCACCCTGAGGAGGATGCACCTTGATGTGTGGACGGATGTCCAGCCCGCACGGCCGTAGGTTGCAGAGGCGGCTCTCCTGTTCAGGCCAGCAGCGGGCATTGGCACTGGAGATACGAGTAGAAATGCCAAGGCCACAGCTGGTGGAGCAGGGACTCCAGGGGCTCGTGTAGGCTACACAGTTTCTGTGCCACGGCTCCACCTCACCCACGGCTGCTGTGGGTGGGAGAAAATTCCCCATGAGTCTCCAGCTCAGTGAACCCCTGATCCCCACTGTCACCACATGAAGGGGCAGGGTCCCCAGAACTCGGAGACAGAGCTGGTGTAACAGCCTGTCCTTCCCCACAGTGGGCAAGTGACAGCTCACCAGCTTGGGTTCCCAGGGAGAGGAGAACATGGTCTGAACTCATATGTTTCTGACCAAGGGAGGCAGCACTGAAGAATGGAGGGAAGATGACCTTTAGAGACACCTGGGCCTGGATTCATATCCTGCCCTACCCTCTGCAAGCTGTGTGATCTTAGATAACTCACTCACTCTCTCTGAGCCTCAGCCTTCTCACCAGAATAATAATCCCTGCCTTGTGGGGCTGATGTGACAACTGGCAAGAGTGCATATGAAGGGTCAAGATATGTACTGAGCATGCATCAGGCATCCTGGTAGGTGCTGGGATTGTTGTTGTTGTTGTTATGTGCCGTCGAGTCAAACCTGACTCATAGTGACCCCTTCTTGAGTTTCCGAGGCAGTATCACTACGGAAGTAGGATTGCCCAACCTTCCTTCTGAGGAGTGGCTGGTGGGTTTGAACCACCAGCCATCTGGTTAGCAGGCAAGTGTCTTAGCCACTATGCTACCAGAGCTCCCAGGTGCTGGGATAAAAGGTTAAAAAGTCAGTGGTTCATCCCTGCAGAGATCCCATTTATTGGAGGATGTTCAAACGCAAGTGTAGCCAATGTTCCTTCTCAGTACTGTTGAGGACATAGGGATTGAGGGGACACACAGGCTTCAGGAGCTCTCGTGGCGTAGTGCCTAAAGCCTTTGACTGCTAACCAGAAGGCTGGCAGTTGAAACCCACCAGGCACTCCTTGGAAGGAAGTTTGGGCAATCTACTACTAATCTGATACTGCCTCAGAAACCCAAGGAGGGATTGCTATGAGTCAGATCCAACTCAATGGCAGTGAGTTTGGTGGGATTTTTTTTTTTTTTTTTTTTTTCAGTTTGCAGGCTTCAGAGCAGATGCCCTGGGTTAGAATCTTGGTACTGCCACTTACAGCTGTGTGACTTCCAACAAGTTAGCTCATCCCTCTGTGCCTCAGGCTCCCCACCTGCAAGTGGGCTTGACAATAGCATCTCTGTCCCAGGCCTGTGATACAGAGAAGCTGGGTTCACACAGGTGAACTTGCTAAGGCTGCATCCGGGCTCTGCTAAATCCTCAGTAAACATGAGCTAAAAGCTCATGACTCGGCTGGCAGCAGCTAACCTACCAGCTCCTGGGGGTTCTATGAAAGGGTGCATCCCTGGCATCGAGGCCATTGTGCTGCCCACCACGTATCTGGAAAATGGAAATGTGAGTGAGCTGGAGATGCAAGCAGGGGAGAAGCAAGGGACACGGAGGAGGATGCCCAGAGGGAGGTGGAGCAAGACACACGGAAGAAAGACCCACCGTGGGGGTCAGTCCCACCCAGACACACACACAAGACACACGGAAGAAAGACCCACCGTGGGGGTCAGTCCCACCCAGACACACACACACACACACACACACACACACACACACACACACACGGAACCAGAGAGAAAGGAAGAGCTAGAGTGAGACCGGGGAGGAAAGAAAGACAGAGGAGGAAAGAAAGACGGAAGGGACAGATGGAAGGGCAGAAGAGATGTAGAGAGAGGGTGGGAGCAGAGAGAGGGTGAAAAGGGGGAATGGGGGGGAGAGGAGGAGAGAGGAGGAGAGAGGGAACGGGGAGTGAGCCAGAAAAGCGGGAGAAGGGGAGAGAAGCGGGGAAGAGTGAGGGAGGAAGAGGGCTGGGGAGCCAGCGGGGAGACAGGGGGGTGAGAATGTGGAGCGGAGGCCAGACGCCACAGAGGAGGCAGAGGGGAGGAGGAGGAGGAGGGAAGAGAGACCAACCAGGGGCTCCACGGGAGGAGTGAGGGCAGTGCTCACTACCCCACCTCTCCAAGGTGGGAGGGGTACCGGGAGTATGATGAAGGGATGCATGCGTGACTGAGTGACAGAGGGGGAGCAGAGAGACAGAGAAGAGAGAGAGGAGGGGCCCTCGAGAGGAGCCCTGCTCCCAGCTGCAGGCAGGGAGGCTCAGCTGGCTACAGAGGGGATACAAGGATTCGGGAGCTCTGAGCTCAGGGAGGAGTGGGGCGGACAGGCCTCCACAGATAAAGGGCTTTGCTCCCTGGGTCATCTGGCTTGGCTAGGGCTCTGCTGTGCTGGGTCAGAATGAGGTCACTGGGCCACACACAATGGGCTGCCAGCCTTCTCCTCCCCCTGACCCTCCTGTGGCCCTGCAGGGGGCACTTAGAGAGACAGCTCCTGTGGCCACCTCCAGGTCCTGCTGTCCTGGGCCTGCTGGGGACAAAGCTTTCCCTGCCACCTCCTCCCACTGACAGGGCCTCCAAGCCCCCACTGAGAGGCCCTACTGGGGACCACCCACCTTCCTAATGCAGGCAGACCCACCAAGGCTGCCAGCCTGGGGAGAAGCCTCCACTCCGGGCTGTCCCTTTACACCTGAACCCTTTCCTTCTTTCCAGCTTATTCTTTTCCAGAACACTTTAGCTTTGGCCAAAAGTCTTGATCCACCTACACCTGCAGGTGGATCTGTCTTCCTCCACTTCCATCAGGCACTCACCTTGAAGGGTGGTGTCTCAGGGATCTACGGGCCATTGTCTCTGCCTCTCCTCACCCTGCCTTCACGGGGAGTGGTTCTCACCCCGAGCAACTGCACCCCCAGAGGCCATCTGGACAAGTTTGGAGACATTCTGGGTGGTCAAAACTGGGGGGCAGGGGGTGGTTACTATTGGTGTCTATGGGGTGAGGCCAGGGATGCTGCTAATGTCCTACAAAGCCCAGCACAGCGCCACAACAAAGAAGCACCCAGTCTGAAGGGTCGACAGGCCCTGCCCTACACAGTCTCCATAAGCAATCTCATGCTCTTCTCATCTGAAAATAAAACTTCCAGCCCCTTAGGACCTAAACTCAAGGGCCATTTCTTCACCCCTTCCTGTCCACTACCTGGTAGACACCTTCTTTCTAGAAACATCTTCCATGGCATCTGGGCTCCCTCTTGGTCCTCTTCCACCTGACCCCCTCTAGGTGTCCCCTTCCTCTGCCTTCTCAGGCCTCCGCCCTCTTTCTCCCTCCGCACATGAGCCAGTCTGCAGCTCCAGGTGGATGGCTTGCTTGGCTCGCTTCCTGCCCCCTCTCCCTCCTCCAGCCCAGCACCCACTGGCCTCTCCTCCTGGAGCTGACAGGTGCAAACTCACCTGTCTCCAAGGAAACAAAGCTCCTTGCCCCAAACGTGCTCCTTCCCTTGTATTTATATTCAACCTCACATGAGTCATCATTCACTCTTGGTCCCTTTTGTTAGAACACAGGCACTTTCAGTCTTACCTGTCAAAGGCCTCTGTATCTGTCCCTTCCTCGGTCGCCACCTCTACTCCCACTGCTCTAGTTCAGGTTCTCATTAGTCTGACCCGCCAGCAAGACAGCCTTGACTGGGTACCTACTAAGTGCCTGCCACTGGGCTATGCCAGGTAAGCAGTGGTGTCACAAACAGGCCTGTTTCTGTCCTCCCTTTCTGGGGCTTCCTTTCACACGGCTCACAGCCTCACCTGCCTACCATAGTCAGGGAAGGCCCAAGTCATCAGGAAGCCGTGCTGGAGCTAGACCTCACTCTCCTGCCCCAGGGCCTGCTGCTCCTGCCTCCCCAGGGTCCCCCACCCCCACCCAACCTCCACCCTACCCCCTGACCTCTTCCAGCAGACTAACAAAGGATTGCATGTGTGGGCTTTACTCTTCACAGAAGCCTGTCCTCATTTTATGCTTCTCACTTTCACTGCCCACCAGCTGATCTCTACGGAAGAAGATTGCCCGACCTTCCTTCCGAGGAATGGCTGGTGGGTTTGAACCACCAGCCTTCTGGTTAGCAGGCAAATGCCTTAGGCACTACACCACCAGAGCTGCCCATGTTATGTTTCTTCTTCTTGTTGTTATGTGCCCTGGAGTGGGACAGACTCATAGTGACCCCTTGGGTTTCCGAGGCAGTGTCAAGAGGGCCCTAACCGTTATTCACGACAATTTGCATTTTACAGATGGGAAGATGGGGTCCCAGAGAAGGTCACACAGGGAGTAGTAAGGGGTGAGCTGGGGAATGGAACGCAGGGCTGTGTCAATCACAGGCCATCAGCGTGCCGGAGAGGCTTTAGCTGGAGTGAATGGTTGCTTGGCAACAGCCCTCAGGCCCGCCCCCAGGCTCAAGAGAGGCCTGCACCCACCAGAGGCTCCCGTGTCCCGCGGCGTGGTCTTGCGGGGCTTCCTGGTGTTGTCATCACACACCCACTGCTCGCAGCAGCGACCAGGCACGCGCACCCGCCGGGGGCGACGGCACCAGAGGCGCGGGGGGCGCACGCGCAGGCACAGCGGCGTGCAGCCCAGGGAGCCGTCGATGCACGTGCAGTTGTACTTGCAGTTGAGCTGGAAGGACTGGCCGTTGTTGTAGTGCACGCCGTCCAGTAAGCAGCCCACGCCGACCACCTCTGCAAACATAGGCCACCACAGCCAGATCAGCCCCCTGGGCATGGCCTGGGGTCGTGGGCAGGGTCACCCCTACAACATCCTCCCAATCCCTGGACCACACCGAATCCCCAGGAACAAACTTGCGGGTCCCCCATCGCATGGGCAGAGGCAGGGAGGCGTGACAGAGTGTGACAAGCCAGGGCATGGGGAATTTGGGGGCACTTGAGATCGGGAGGAGCCTACGGCATTTGACTGCTAACCAGAAGGCTGGCGGTTCAAACCTACTGGCCACTCCTCCGAAGGAAGATGGGGCAATCTGCTTCCCTGGTGATACAGTCGGAAACCCAAGGAGGGGTTGCTATGAGTCCAGTCCGACTGCATCGCAGTGAGTTTGGTTTGGTTTAGTGTTGAGCATTGGGAGTGTGGGAGTTAATTATTGCTTCAGCTACCACCCACTGGAGGAGCCCTGGTAGTGCAGTAGTTAAACACTCGGCTGCTAACCCAAAAAGTTCACGGGTGGGGAGAAAGATGAGGCAGTCTGCTCCCATAATCATTGTTGTTGTTGTGCCGTGGAGTCGGACCAGACTCATTGCGACCCTCCTTGGGCTTGCGAGGCAGTATCACTACAGAAGTAGATTGCCCAACCTTCCTTCTGAGGAGTGGCTGGTAGGTTTGAACCGCCAGCCTTCTGGTTAGCAGTCAAGTGTCTTAGCCACTACGCTACCAGAGCTCCCTGCCAAGGAAACCCTCTGGGGCAGTTCCACTCTATCCTCTAGGGGCACCATGTGTTGGAATCGACTCTATGGCAGTGGGTTTGGTTTGGGCTTTGCTTCTGTAAGGATTACAGCCAAGGAAACCCGCTGAGGCAGTTCCACTCTGTCCTCTAGGGGCGCTGTGGGTTGGAATCAACTCCTGGTGTGGGTTTATGGCTCTAGTGGAAGGAGGCCTGATAGATGAAAGATGATCAAATAAATCATATAGAATGTTGATGGTGACAAATGCAAGGGAAAAAAGAAGCAGGGAGGGGAGCTTGGGGGTATGGGGGGCTGCGAATTTAAATACTGGTCAGGGCAGCCCTCATTGAGGTGCCCTGCCTTCATCAAAGACCAGAAGGGGTGAGGATGTGAACTGCTCAGCTCTGGGTGGAGCCTTACAGGCAGAGGGTACAGCTGGTGAAAGGCCTGTGGGTGGAGCCTTTCTGGGAAGGATAAAAGAGGAATGGCCAGGAGGTGGAGGGAGCAGAGAGTGGAGGGGAGTGGGCAGGAGGCAAGGTTGAAGAGGGCTTCCTGGCAGGGTCAGAGAGAGGGAAAGCTGTTACAGTCCAGTACTGTGCCCTGCATGGTCCGCGCTCATTAAGTGATTTTGAAGGAATAATGTGAAATCTGTTTTACAAGAACACAGTGCTGTTTGGAAGAGAAATGTGGAATAAAACTCAACATCATAAAAAGACCAGCCTTATTGGTGTGATAGAGACTGGTGGAACCCCTGAGACTATGGCTCTTAGGCACCCTTCAAGCCTGGAACTGAACTCACCCCTGTGGCTCAACTTTCACCCAATACGCATTGCCGTTGAGTCGGATTCGACTCATAGCGATCCCTCCTTGGGTTTCCGAGGCGATATCGCTACAGAAGTAGATTGCTCAACCTTCCTTCCGAGGAGTGGCTGGTGAGTTTGAACCACCAGCCTTCTGGTTAGCAGTCAAATGCCTTAGGCACTATGCTACCAGAGTTCCTAGCCACACAATAGACAGGTCTATAAGGTGAACAATAACATCAGGGAGGTACTCAGAACAATCAACCTTACAAGATCCAAAGGGGAACATTTGCCCAGGGAAAAAGCTTGGAAGGCAGGAGAGGGTAGGAAAGGCAGGAATGGGAACAGTCAACACAGGGAGGATGTGGGAAGAGGGCTGTTACATCGTGGGGACTGCAATCAATGTCACAAAACAAAGTGTGTATGAACTGTTGAATGGAAAACCAATTTGCTATGTCAATTTTCCCCTCGGAAGGAAGGTTGGGCAATCCTACTTCCGTAGTGATACTGCCTCGGAAACCCAAGGAGGGGTCGCTATGAGTCGGGGCCGACTCGACGGCACATAACAACAACAACAACTACATGTCAATTTTCACCCAAATGACAACATAAAGAACCCAGAGCCTTTGATTGAGAGTAGACTGAGCAGAGACCAGAGCAGCTGCAGGAAGCCACCAGTGGAATCCCGAGGGGAGCTGGTGGTGCCTGGGACCAGAGAGGGACCAAAACGCCCAGGGGGAGGGCTCAGTTGCTGCACATATCTGGGAGGAAGAGCTGTCAGGACTCCTGATGAATGGATGTGTGAGTGAGAGAAGGAGAGGAGCCAAGGAGCACCCCTAGTTCTCCAACCTGAGACCCGGAGGAGGGAAGTGCTCCCACCTGGAGAAGCAGGTTTGGGGCAGGTGGCATCAGTAGTTCTTCATTAAACATGGTAAGTTTGAGAAGCCCGCTTGACATCTGAGTCCCATGTAGGGTTGGTTGTGCAGGCCTAGAGTTCTGGGGCGATCTGGGGCCTACTGGGTCAGGCCAGAATGCCCATCCCTGATGTTGCATCCTGTCTGGAAACGCAGGCAGAGGACCATGGGCGGCGAGAGCACCCTCTGGAGGAGGGGAAGTTTGGATTCTGTAGTTGGCCAGCATTTCTATCCTGTCTCTGGCATTGTCCTCATGGTGGGGGTGGCGATCACCACACCATCTCAGAAGATGAGGGTTTCCTCAGTGCTGCTTCTGGCTGGGCATGTGCTTTACTCTGTCCCACGCTTTGTTGCACGGCTTATTTCATCCTCTGAGGAAACGAGTCCCTGTGCTTGGCTGCTAACCAAAGAGTTAGCATATCAAGTCCCCCAGAGGCTCCTTGAAACAAAGGCCTGGCGATGGACTTTTGTGAGATCATCTGATAAAAACCTATGGAACCATCCGATCCGCAGCCTTTATGACTATGAGATCAGAAGAACTAGATGGTGCCCGGCCACCACTGTCAACCACTCAGAGGGGGATCTATGTAGGGGATCCTGGATAGAGAGGGAGAACAATGTGGAACAAAACTCAAAATCATTTGGAAAAAAAAAGAGGAGGGGGGACCAGGTTTGCTGGGGTAGAGCCTGGTGGAACCACTAAGACTATGGCCCCTGGCTTCCCTTCAGGTCTGGAATTGAACCCATGCCTGTGGCTTCCAGCCAAACAAAAGACTGGCATATGAGGTAAACATTTACCTGAGGTAGATACACTCCTTGGAGAGAACAATCATGGAAGAAAGAAGGGCTACTTATGCACAGAGAGAGAGCTGAGGGGTCAGGAGTGCATGGAGGGATGGACACAGGGAAGAGATAACTATGAGGAGGAAGTGGGAGGGGAGCTGTTGCACTGTGGTAAATTGTGGTCAATGTCATAAGACAAAGTGTATGCGAACTGCTGTATGGAGAGTGAATTTGCTCTGTAAATTTTCACCAAAATCACAATTTAAAAAAAGTCTATTTTTGGAAAAGAAAAAAAAAAAAAAAAGGACACAGAGTAGTCACAGGGAGTAGATGGGAAAAGAGCTGTTTATTGTAAGGGTTGTAATTGGTGCCATGAAACCAAATGTGTGTGAACTGTTGAGAGTAAAATGAATCTGCTTTGTAAATTGCACCCAAATCACGATAAAAAATAAAATAAAAAGAGTCAGTCCAATGGCAACTGGTAAAGAAATGCTCCCGTGATCACCCACACTGGACGTGGAGCCAAGCTGAGCCTCAGTGAGGTGGTCATGTGCCCCAGGCAGGGCTTTGAACCCCTTCATTCCCTGCTGAGAAGGCGCGTCCACCCCAGCTGTCCTGAATCAGAATCTACGGTTTAACAAGGTCCCCAGGTGATTCTCATGGAGACAACACTCACCTGGGAACTTGTTGGGAGCTCTGGTGGCATAGTGCCTAAGGCATTTGATTGCTAACCAGAAGGCTGGTGGTTCAAACCCTCCAGCCACTCCTTGGAAGGCAGGTTGGGCAATCTACTTCCATAGTCATACTGCCTCGGAAACCCAAGGAGGGGTTGCTATGAGTTGCACTGTGTTTGCGGACTTGTTAAACTGTAGATCCTAAGTCAGGATAGCTGGGGTGGAAACGCAAATCTTTATAGCAGGGAGTGGAATCAGAATGAAACCTGTTGGAAGCCCTGGCCCAAGGCGACTCTGCTGGGGGCCAGGCAGCAGCAATAACCAGACTCTCAGAGTGTGTTCTTGCCAGCTTCCTGGGGTATATATGCTCTGGGAGGTGCTGAAAGGAAAGGGCCTGACATTACAGACCATCTGACCTGTGCCAGACATCATCTGATAGGCTATCTCAGTCACTTCTCCCAATGACCTCAGAAGAGAGTGTTTTTGATTTGCAGACAGGAAACCTCAGGGAGATGAAGTTTACAGAGCTGAGACTCCAATCCTGGGGCTCTGACTCCACAGCCCATTTCCTCCCACCAGACACCATTGGCCCCATTGCAGCCGGGTTGATCCTGATGCTAAGAGGAGGGAGAGACAGACAAGTAGCAGAGGCACCACGAGGATCAGTCGTCTTTGCAGTCTGACTCACCCCTACTGTGCCCTCTCCAGGAAGGGATATGTGTGCATGCATGTGTGTGCATGTGCACATATGTGTGTGTATTGTGGAGGCAGATGTGGGCTGAAGCCCAGGGGTCTGCCTCTGGTATGGGAGCTAGGATGAAAAAGTCAGTGCTGGGCTCCTGGGAGTTCCTCCAACACAGTGGTCTCAACCTCCGTTGTACAGCGGAGCCACCTCGGAAACCTTTAAAACTCCCGGTGCCCACGATATGCCCCAGCAAGTGGGGGGCACCCAGGTCTAGGAACTTTTATTTGTTTGCCCTCGGTATTTTTTGAAGCTTTCTGGGCCAATGCAGTGTGCAGTCAAGGTTGAGAACCTCTGTGTCTCCTGTCTTGAGCGAGTTTTGGTGGGGAGGAGGCCATGGTGGGGAGTGATGCTGTCTTTGACCTGCCAGTCTGCCAGGGACTCAAGAGTGAGAAGGGCTCTGGGATGGCTGTAGGCTGGTCCCATATGAGGACCTGAGGCCCCTCTTCATTTGCTTGGTTTCTTTCTAACTAACCAGACAAGCAGCTCTTGGCGAGATGGAGAAGCTGGCCAAGTCCCCTTCACCACCTTATCTAATCTCAGATGTGCATGGTCAGGCATGGCCTGGAGACCTTTCTCCTTCTAGAAGGACTTCTAGGGACTCAAACCACCTTGCTCCCTACCCAATGGACTGTCAGCCCTATGGGAGCAGGCACAGGGGCCATGCACTGTTGTAGCTCCATTGTTGCCTTCCCACTCACCAGTGTTGATTGTGTGGGTGGAGGATGGATGGATGGATGGATGTGGGGTTGGCACCAATCTTTCTTGGGCTTCTGCTGTTATCAGAAGAGCCCCTGAGCGGTGCAAACAAGTAAGCCTGCATCTACTAACTGAGAGGTTGGTGGGTCGAACTCACCCAGAGGCTTCTCAGAAGATAGGCCTGGCGATCTGTCTCCATAGTCACAGCCGTGAAAACCCTAAGGAGCATGTCCCCTCCTCACTTGTGGGGCTGTGGTGAGCCGGAATCAATGATAACTGTCTGTTTTTCACTATGTGTCAGGAGTCCTTGGTGGTGCGAAGGGTTCACTTGCTCAGTTGGTAACTGAAAGGTTAAAGGTCCAAGTCCACCCGGAGGGCCTTGGAACAAAGGCCTGGTGATCTACTTCCAAAATCAACCATGGAAACCCCTATGTAGTACAGTTGTGCTCTGATACACACGGGGGCCACGGGTCAGAGTGCATTTGACAGCAGCTGCTCCATGCATCAGGCACTTGATGTCCAGCCGCCCGGCAAGGCAGGCCTTAGTTGTCACATTTTACTTAATGGGAGTGCTGAGACTTAAAGCAGCTTACCTACAGCTACCCTTCTGGTAAGTGGTGGTGCTGGGATTCAAACCCAGGCTATGTAGCTCCACACACCACTCATGCCTTACTACACTTCAGGGAGAGGGGTTGGGGCCTGGAACTAGACCTGGTCCCTCATTGCAAGATGACGGTGTGCAGGGCCGAGATGGCTTCCCCACGGGAAAGTTAAAGCAAAGCTAGGAAAACAACATGCAGAAGCAGCCGGCCCCATTGTCGGCTCTCAGGCGTCACTGCTCCCTAACAACCATGTGGAGCAGGTTTCATCAGGCTTGTTGGGTGGTGTGCCCAAGGTCACGTAGCCAGCAAGTGGCAGAGCCAAGTCTGGCTGCCTGGAAATTCCGCAATCCCTCCTCCAAACCACACTGACCCAGCCACCTTAACTCCAAAGAGTGTTTGTGCAGCAAAAATAGCCCAGTGGTCAAATTCAGGGGTCACTCTCTGCCCATAATCATATTTAGTTTGGCCCACAGAGTGTTTTGCAAAAGAATTTTGAATGTGTTGCCAGTATTTACAAAACATACACAAATCTGGCCTTCTGAGTTCTCTTGAAAACTGAGCAGGCTGGGCAAGACGGAGCTCACCTTTCTCCTGGGCGCAGTGGGCTGGGACCCCATGGGGTAGCCCCTACAGCCAAAGCTCCATTCACCCCTTTGCCATGATCCGCTCCATCCTCTCCAGAAGTCCTGTTTCCTGTGTTACGTGTTTTTACCGGCCTCACCCATCCCACACTGCATGAAACCTTAAAGGACAGATTTTGCCTGGTCTGGGGTTTTTCTGGAGGGAACAGTTCATTGGCTGAGCTGACTATCTCCTAAGACGTTGTCCAATAGAACGACTTCTCCTTCCCCTCTGTCCTGAAGGTGGCTTTTCCTTACTGCCTTCAGGCCCTGGGGCTTCTGTTTCTCACATGGAAGTCTCATGAACTCAGACTCTGCGGCACCATTTCTGGAAAAATACTCAGTATAGAATGAGAGTGAGGTATGTGTGTGGGCACATGTATGCATATGATGTTTGTATGTGTGATGTGTGTGGGGGGGAGGGGTGTGTGAGTAAAAATTCACCTGGGCAAGAAAAGTCCAGCATTCAAGGAAGCATGGAAAGACTTCTTATGATAGCTCCCTTTTAAATTTGAAAATGGACATGAGCATTTAAAGGCTCTGAGAATTCCCACAACACCTGTTTGACTTAATTTATTCCATTCCTGCAAACCTAGGAGATCAGGAAACTCCTTGATAAGTATAACACCCATTCAGATCTCTCTCAGACCACAGTTTCGTTTTGTTTCTCCAATAAAGAAAGGAAATATGCGTAGGCTCATGGGAGGGAAAAAGGTAGGAGCTAAGAGGCTGTAATGAGTGAGGTAAGACATGAAATACAAAGAGATGAGGGGTAAGGATAAGAGGGGAGGTGGTCTTCCAGGTCCCCAGTGGGAAGAGGTAGGGGAGGCAGTTGCTGGGCCTACACAGTCTCTGCATCCAGGGTGTCTGTGAAGACATGGTGCCTGGTTCAAGGTAAGTTCTCAGTACAGCTTTAGAGGTCACTGTAACTGCATCGGGAGCTCTGGTGGTGTAGTGCCTAAGGCAATTGACTGATAACCAGAAGGTTGGTGGTTCAAACCCACCAGCCACTCTTCAGAAGGAAGGTTGGGCAATCTACTTCCTAGTGATACCGCCTCGGAAACCCAAGGAGGGGTCGCTATGAGTCGGATCCGACTCCACGGCAGTGCATTGCACTGTGTTGTAACTGCAGCAGTGGGAAAGGGGGAAACACATCATGAGACAGCCTCATGTAACTGCGAGTGTTCCGGTGCAGGAAGGCCTGGCAGGTTTCCCTAGCTGGGTAGTGGCAGAGGCATATGACCAGCTGTATATCAAGCAGTCAGTCTAAGACTGAAATGTATGCAAGCATCACCTGGAATCTCATCAAAAGTGGTGAGTCCCCAGGTACACCTCCAGAGAATTTGATCCAATAAAGTCTGAGGTAGGGCTCAGCAATAGCATTTTAACCAACACATTAGATAACTGTCCACAGCTACTCTTAGAACACATTGTTTTATGGGATCAATAATGAGTCTCAATAAAAGGAGAAAAAGTGGAAGATGGAGGAAGCAGGGGTGGCTGCTTCCAAAGACAAAGGCAGATGACTTGGTATAAAGTTGAAACATGAACCGATGATAAAGGAGCATTAAGGCAACCACGAGGCTAAGAGAGGGTGGTCTAACTTGGAATGATATATATAACCCCCATCAAAAATTCACTCCGAGAAATAGAAGGGGCAAAGTGAGGATGAGAGACTGCACTGCAGGCAAATATGTAATGGGTGCATACAGCGCCATGGTTACAAGGAAAGCTTGATTCAGCACTAAGGGAAGAAGGCAGCCCTTGGCTTTATGAGGCTTTGTGCAACTTCTTAGAAGCTAGGCAGTTGCATCATGATGCCTAGTTCCATCTTTTCATCATGCTGGGTCATGTATCTTAGGAGGCTAAGTGTTAGATGACTCAAGCTAAGGGAGTATCAGTCTGGATAGAAGCAGGAGGTCAGAAAGTCCCATGAAGGAGGACTCTGGGAACCTGAAAGGACAGAATGCCCCTGATGGAGCATTTGAAAAACAAACAAACAAGTGAAAACAAATGCTCCACCCTTCAACACAAGGATGTTAGAAAGGCCAAGTGTACAGGAAAAGCAAAGGCTACTAGGAACTCCAGGGAAAACAAAAAGCTCTGTAGGAAAGGAGACTGAAACAAGTGCACTGCTACTATACATATTACTTCAGTGAACAATGTTTACGTAGTCATGACATTGCAAATACTGACTGTTGTATAACAAAAAGTTGTGACCATGATCTTTGGAAAATAGAGGAAGAACGGAAGGGTTTTGAGGAATGAAGTCATCAGCTATCATATAAGAATGTTAGTAGATTATCTAAAATTGATACTATAAAGCCAAACAAGATACAGAAGAACACAGATATTATATAATGGTAACTGGCAAAAACAATAACTAAGAGCTTGAAGAGGCTGTAACCAGTACAGGAATGTGGGTACGGATAAGAGGTGAGGGCTGCAGGATACTGCTTTTCATTCTCTCCAAGCTACCAGCTTTTCTTTAACCATGTTATTTGTATTTACAATATTTTGAAAAACATTTGGAGCTTTGCAGTCTCCTCAGCTGATGGTTCAAACCCACCAGCCACTTCTCGGAAGGAAGATTGGGTGATCTACTTCTGAAGTGATACCGTCTCAGACACCCAAGGAGGGGTTACTATGAGTCGGATCCGACTCGACGGCAGTGAGTTTGGTTTTTGGTATTCTCTAGAAGGCTTTGGGCAAAGGGTGTCACCACTAAGAGAACAAATCCAGGCTGAGGACTTTGCCTGGTGGCTCTCTCTTCCTCTCTTCCTTGGGGACAGTACAGATGTGCCTCCAGGACATAGAAACCAGCCAGAGGCAATGTTCTGGAGTCAGAACAGGGCAGACATCCCTCTCTCCCCAAAAAGGACCCGGGCTCTCACTCTAGACTGAAGTGGGAGCATCTCTAGCGAAACAGAAGTGTGGCCAGGGGAGGGCTGGGGTGTTCCAAGGGAGGGGGGCCTGGGCCAGAGTTGGGGGAGCTGGGGGCTGGCTGGAAGGTACGCAGGGTCTCACTTACGTGCACACACTCCTATTGCGTACCTCGGGCTGTCCCCACTGTAGTCGCAGTACAGGCCCCGGTGGGGGTCACAGATGGCAGCTTCTGTGCAGTTGTCCCCAAGCTGCTGGGCACACATCTTACAGCATTCACAGCCATCTGTGATAAGGCTGACTCCCAGAGGGCAGCGAGGTGGGGACAGTGGGCACTCACAGGGCCACTTGCAGAATTGGGGATGTGAGGATGTGTCCTCCAGTGGTGCTGGGGTGAAGGCCATGGCCATAGGGGCAGGAGAGAGGACCTGCAGGGAGAATGGTAGAGGTGAAGAGGGCTGCCAGGCAGAGAGAGAGATTTCAAAGCCCAGGGACCCTGCAACCACCAGCCCAGCTCCTTGGTTTTGAAGACGTTTTCATACAATGATTACGGTAGATTCTCATTATTTGCAATGGTTATGTTCTGTAAAGTCACTGCAAACACAGAATTAGCAAATACTGAACCACTGCTCCCAGGGGAAATCCAGGGTCAGTTTTCTGCAAGTCACAAGATTTTTCATTAGCCAATCAATACATAACCTTGCTGTGTTTCTATTTATAGACACCTTCTTTAATATATATTGTCGATGCAGTTACACTCACTAATGTCCACCCACAGCAAACTCGTGCCTGGAAGCTTAGCTACCACAAGCATTGTCCACAGAAGGCACACCACAGCCATCTTGTCCTCGGGATCAGTAGCCAGCACTCTGGCACTGTGCTTGTAGGGGCTGCATAAACAGCTAACTCACCAACAAAAAGCACAGAAAAGCAAAACATGTGGCCCCAAGTAGTCTGCGGAAAGGACACTTGTTGACTGTATGAGAACCAAAACAAGGAGGCAGCGTGCCTGGCTCAGCCTGTCGGGAACACGTGTTGCGCTTCTCGAATTCTCTGCTCTGTAGTTGCCTGAACCCCACTGCTGGTAAGTGGAGGGGCTCAGATTCTATTCTAAGCCTTGTCCCTCTTCACATTTCCTTCCTGATTAATCAGCCCCACAATTCATGTTACAAATGAGGGAGTGGAGGCTCTGAGCAGTACAAGTTTCTTGCTGCTGGCGGGGGAGGGGGGGACCCCTATTCCTTTGCCTTTTTCACTTTTTGCAGATTCACTCTCTGTCCTGCACTTAAGGGTCTGTGAGGCCTTGCTGGGAGGGAAGACTCCTGATCCTAACAGTGTCAGGCTGGCTGAGCGGTTACTGAATTCCAGGTAGGGGCTGGAGTGATGTAGCAGCAGGCGCTCGATGACAGAGCCATGGCTGGACGAGCCCTGCCCTGGGGGAAGTTGCCAGCTCAGACCTCGTGTGGAGGTTGCTTTTCATGGTGTGCTAGGGGCCACGGCCCCTCATCCCTACTTGCCCTGCCTGTGCCCCAATAGCCCCATTCCCATCCCAGCCAGCAGGTGTATCTTTATCTGGGCAAATGTGATGGAGATAACAATGGGTCAGCTGGGAAGGGAAAGTAAGGCCCAAATGGCGCACCAGCCCAGAAAGACAGGCAGACAGATGTTGCTCTGTGGGGTCTGTGGTTATAGGAGCTCTACACTGCCTGCATGAGCCCTGCTAGTGCAGTTGTTAGAGTGCACAGATGCTAACCGAAAGATTGACTATTCAAACTCACCAGTTGCTCTGCAGGAGAAAATGAGGCAGTCTGTGTCAGTAAAGACTTACAGCCTTGGAAACCCTAGGGGGCAGTTTCACTCTGTCCTCTAGGGATGCTCTGAGTCAGAGTCGACTCAACAGCAGTGGGTTGGGTTGGGTTTTAGTATGCCACTTGTATCTCTGGGATCCAATCACACAGCTCCTTTCTGGCTGCCTCCCTGAATTAGTCTCGTCCCTCAGTCTGGAGTCCCTGGGTGGTGCCAATGGTCAACATGTTCAGCTGCTAATCAAAAGGTTAGGGGTTTGAATCTCCCCAGACGTGAATTGAAAGAAATCCCTGACAATCAACTTCCTAAAAAATCAGCCACCGAAAATCTTATGGAATGCAGTTCCGCCTTGACACATAGGAGGTTGCCATGAGTTGGAGTTGACTTGATGGCAACTGGCTGGTCCCTCCTCCCCGTATTGTGTGCCATTAGTCAACTGACTCCTAGGGACCTTATAGGACAGAATAGAACTGCCCCATAGGATTTCCAAGGCTGTCATCTTTATGGGAGCCATTACCAGGTCTTTGCCACAGAGAGGCTGGTGGGTTGAAACCAATGACCTTTGGGTTAGCAGCCAAAAGCTTTAACTGCTGTGCCCCCAGGGCTCTTTCCCTGCTCTCTGCATAGGAGGACATCAAAGCTCACGGGGGACAGAGATAAGCCCAAGCATGCGGTGAGCACAGCCAGAGCTCGGCTTGGAGCCTGTCCGCCCACCCCCAGGCCAACGTGGTCGGTGCGACAGAGCTTCCTGCCAAGGCCTCTCAATCGCGAGTCCAACATTCTGAGGTTAGCTCAGGGGGAGGCAGGCCAAGGACCATTGTGGGGGCGGCAGGGCTGGCTGGGCTCCACGCTGCCTCTCCCCTGCGAACCAGAGGAGGCCTGCTCGGTGGGATTCAGAGATCTGCCTTCAATCTCTGAACAGCAGGTTCCTGTATCGGAGGAGGGGCTGGAGAGCCAGAGGCAGAGGGGCGTGGCCAGCCCCGCCAGCCCACACCAGGGCCTGGATACACACCGCGTCTCCTCCGTTCCAAACCCTTTGCGTTTTTTTCTTTATGCTTTAATTTGCGGCTGTTGTTGACACTGCACTGCAGACCACACACCGTCCAACCATTTCTACAGGTCCAGGTCAGCGACCCCGACGACGTTCTCTGAGTTGTGCGACCATCCTCATCCTCCTTTTCCGAATTGTTCCCTCATCAACATAAACTCACTGCCCCTAAAGTTCCTACTCGACTTTCAGGTTGCTGCTGTCAACTGGATCCCATGTAGACAGTCCTTGAAAGAGCACAGTACTCAAGGAATTCTTTGCTAGTTAAGCTCAATTAGTATTTGGTTTTAAGCAGACTTCAGGGGATATTTTTGTTTAAGGTTTAAAGGTGATCTCAGGCCAATAGTTTAAGGGGTTCATCCAGCCTCCACGGCTCCAGAAAGTCTGGAGTCCCCGAGATTTTGAAATTCTGTTATGCGTCTTCCCTTATGGGTCAGAGTTTTTTTAATAGAATCTTTGATCGTAATGTTCAGTAGTGATAGCTGAGCACAAGCCAGTTCTTCTGGTCTTATGGTAAAGGGGTCTGTACTTTGCTTTTTTCTCCTCTTGGCTCCTTTATTCGCTCAACAAACATTTGCTGAGCTCATTGTCTTTCTTAAGTTGTAGGCATTCAAAGTGAATTTAAACATCCCTGTGATTAAAGAGCCCCCACAGCTTACGGGAGAGAGATGTTTAGGTCATTTATTTCAATGCAAGGCATTGAGTGCCATGCAGAATGCTAGGCCCCAGGGGAGGCACAGGAGTTCCCTGAATGCCAAGGTAGTGAGGTCACTGCTGCATGCTTGGCTTGGGGACCACAGGTGAGGAGAGTTGGTTTGGTCCAGGTGAAGTGCTGCATCAGTCAAAACATGGGTCCCTGGACAGTTAGACAGGAAAATGCTGGTTTGATCTTTTCCTCACCTTAGGGATGATATTGGAATCCCTGGGTGATGTGAATAGTTAATATGCTCCCTGCCAACCGAAAGGGTCAAGTCCACCCAGAGGCACCTTGGAAGAAAGGCCTGGCAATCTACTTCCAAAATATCAGTCATTGAGAACGTTGTGGGCCCAGCTCCGTTCTGACGCACACAGGTTGGCGTGAGTCTGAATCAACTTGACAGCAACTGGTTAAACGGCATCAGAGCCTCAGGCACCTCCCCTGCCTTCCCTACCTCAAGACTCTGTGATGCAATTCCCTGTGACCAAAATGCTGTTCCCACCTCTCTTCATCTGTACACCTGCTACTTATCCTTCAGGTCCCAGGTTAAAAGCCCCTTCCTTGGAGAGTACAACATCACACCCCCTTTTGCGTGCTTGGCTTTCCCCTCAGGCACTACACACTTAGCAATTAGACTAATGTGTGTGTATGTGTGTGTGTGTGTAGGTTAGTGCTGTGCCCTCCACAAGGACAGTACAGGACAGGGCCTGTCTAGCTCCCTGCTGCCTCTAGCCCCCATCAGTGCCAGTACACAGTAGGGCCACTGAAGAAGGACCATGGGGTGTGGTTCCTATTCTCCAAATGCCATATGAACCCTCTTTGCTGCCCCATCCTTTCCTCACTGGGGACAGGTAGGGTAACCAGGTTGGCCAAGAGACTCATGCCTGCAGCCACTTTTAGGGTTTAAGGTCTGCCATGGGCCATGTGGCATTGGAAGGCCTGTTGGCAGGAAGTCAAGGGCTCCTGGAGCTTGGCAGCTCTAGTCCAAGTTCACCTGGGAGGCATTAGTTTACCTTTGTTTGTTATTCCTCAAAACACAGTATAACAAAACCCCAAATCAACAAATAAAACCAAATGTGCACACACACACCCTCCTCTTTCTGGAGAGAGATGTTTCCTTGTCAGGCTGTGACAGTAAGTGCCTCCCATCTTTGTGAGCACCCATGGGCCATCTCTGGCCTGTCCTCTGGCCCTCGGAATAAACTCTTGGCAGAGGAAACGGCCATCTCCTCCAGGAAGCCCTGTCTGCCTTTCCCAGCCCATGTCAGATGGGCTACCTCCTTGCTTCCATCGTGCCTGGTACATCCCTCTTGCAGTTGCCTGTCTTCCTGACTGGACTGTGAGCTTGTAGAGGGAAGGTCTGTGCCTGCCTCCTCTCTGTGTGCGTGAACCACAGTGTGCAGCACACAGCAGGCCTTCTTGTTTATTAGTCAAGTGACTGGACGGGAGATCGTTGGCAAAATGGTTGACACTTTGATATTCAGAGAAGTTAAGTACATCCCATGCTGGGACCTCTCCTCTCAGCACTGATTAAATCAGGATGTCAAGAAAAGAACCTTGACACAGATGGAAGTGGGTTCCAGTCCCTGCTCTGACTGCTTCTCTCTGTATGGCCTTGGACAAGCATCCTAATCTTTCTGAGCCTCCTGGTCAGGGACAAGGGTGCAATAAATCCAGCTCCAAGCTCCAAGCTGTTGGAGGGTGAAGGACTTCCACATCCTGTGGATGTGGAAGGACTGGCTTAAGCCGGGCACACGCAGACACACGGAAGTAGGACTCTCCTTGTCCGTCGGTGGTTGTGCCTCTTCCCCGCCCCACAGAGTCCAGCTCTAGGCTGGGATCTGGGTACCCAGAGCTGAGCTGGGAGCAACTGTGAC